TAATAATAGATTAATAAATTAATAACAGTTTTAACTCCTTAACTTAAATAATTTACATCATTCAGATGTCATTGCAAGAGATGCTATCCAGATTAAAGTGGAGCATGCAGGCCTTAGCATGTTTATAAACAGGAGTAGTAATGACGAGTCTTTTTCTTTTTTTTCTGCAGGTTTATATATGCAGCAACAATATTCAAGCTCGACAACAGGTTATTGAACTTGCTCGTCAGTTGAATTTCATTCCCATTGACTTGGGATCATTGTCATCAGCCAGGGAGATTGAAAATTTACCCCTTCGACTCTTTACTCTCTGGAGAGGGCCAGTGGTAGTAGCCATAAGCCTGGCCACATTTTTCTTCCTTTATTCCTTTGTCAGAGATGTGATACATCCGTATGCAAGAAACCAGCAGAGCGACTTTTACAAGATTCCTATTGAGATTGTGAATAAAACCTTGCCCATAGTTGCCATTACTTTGCTGTCCCTGGTATACCTAGCAGGTCTCTTGGCAGCTGCGTATCAGCTTTATTATGGCACCAAGTATAGGCGATTTCCACCTTGGTTGGAGACCTGGCTACAGTGTAGAAAACAGCTTGGATTACTAAGTTTTTTCTTCGCTGCTGTCCATGTTGCCTACAGCCTCTGCTTACCAATGAGAAGGTCAGAGAGGTACTTGTTTCTCAACATGGCTTATCAGCAGGTACGGAATGTGCTTGTTACATTTAAGCATAATTAGTATAATTGGTAAAATGTAGGACTTAAAATAGTATAAAATTTACATATCTTGTAATAGGAAATTTCTTTTGATACATTGAAGAAGGGGAAAGAATTGTTAAATAGTGTTTCTGCATAGCATAGGAATTAAGTGGCTAATTTAAAAATCATTAAGGGTGAAAGCTGCTAACTTCCCCCCTCTTTACAAAATAAAAGCAAAGAATTGTAGTGGAGTTTTTTTTTTTTTTTTTTCTATTTTTTTTTAAATTTTAGTATTGCAGTGATTTCTCGTCAGCATTAAACCATTAAGTATTTTAAGTTTTTATAATTGGACATATTCCGCAAAGCAATGATACAACTCTCAGCAAACATATAAATAAAATTAGAACCAGTGAAATATAAAGCAGAATGCGAAGTCAAGATCAGGAGAAAAAATCTAGCTCTGCTAGCTGTGTCTACACAGTTCTATTTTGGCTTTGAGATTTCTGATAATATGAAAAAGGAGACACTGTTACAAGGTTCTTGTCAAAAAGCAGAAAAGATAAAGCTTTCTTAGCATTTGGCTGTCCAAGAAAATCTCAGAGAGCTTAATGAAAGATTCTTGAATGATGTAGTACACTATATAATTTGCATTTTGCAAAGTAATCTAAGCGATTTCACCAAGCCATTTCTTGTAACAGTCCTCAAAGAAAGCTGAAGGCATTACACCAAAACAATTGTGTAAAAGCATTT